CAGACTTTGGGGATAGATTTGTTGTATGTAGCTGGGCTAGAACAGCCTGCATGCCAGGCAAGCTTTTGGGACTGAAAAAGCAGGAGAAACAGCTCAATCCACTATTTCAGTAGGTATAGGATCATGTCTGTGCTGAGCAACAGATTAACTCACAAACTGAAAGTAGGTGCCTGACCTTAAGAGAAGGGAGGTTTTATGCTAATTAGTAGCACTCAGGGCAATGGACCAGAGGGCTCCCTGGGCCTTTCAGAGTAGGGGTAGGTGAGTGAAAACAGTCTGAGAAAGCATTAAAAGCTGAATCTTTGGAGCAGTTACTATAAAGAAGCTCAGCAAGATATTTCTTACCTAAACTCCAAAATAAGAAGGGCTAAAAGGACTAGGAGGAGGTTACTGGGCCTTTCACCTCAAGGTCAGTGATTGCATCTGGCTTCAAGATAAACACTAAATACACCATTACCTCTAACAAACACTGGTAGACCTTTGTTAAATAAGCTATCTTGAGTAGGTGTCAACTTTCTGGTAAATAAACATCTCCTTAAACCCTGTTTAATGCTATTAACCCGAACAGATCATCTGGGCAGAAAAGGAAATCTGTGAAATCTATGAATCTGTTTCTCACCTTCTGGAAACCAATGCTGAACACGGGGACTGAGTGGTGGTCCAATAATACAGAGGGACATTACCCCATTACTGCAAATATCCAAACGCCAAGGAAGACCTGGGTTTCCAGTGTACCTTACCTTAATATGGAAATATGGAATTATTTTCAAAAAGCTTGTATAACACAGAAAAGAGTGGATTGATCTCCTCACTGTGTGACACTGTTTTTTAGGACCTCTTTAAAAAAGGATAGTTGACAATCAGAAAATGGGATGACCCACCAGGAGCTGTTTGCAGAAACTGTTCTATCTCAGGCTTTCTTGAATATCTTTCATTATAAAATACTTGGATTTGCAGGTAGAAATCTTCTGTATCCAAATTTTCCATATGGGAAATTTCTTGAGAGATTAAGTTTTGCTTATTCAACAAGGACTTGTTTATTTTTTCAGTTAAATTCACAATATCAAAGCATAATGAAGTTTTGAAAAATATAATATATTTGCCCTGGCAAGATCTGCAGATCAGAACAAAAATAAAATGTGAAGTCATTTCTGTTTCTGTGCAAACTGGTATAAATAGGGAGTGATCACACTTTTATGTCAGTGCAGTTTCACCAGCATAGAATCAAGCAGAGTTGAAATTAGGTCCAAAAATACAATTGTGTATTCTCATGCTGGCTTACATTCAAATTGACATGAAAGTCTTTCTTTTATATTTGAACTGACACTACCAGGAATGAAAACAGAATCAGCACTACAGTCTGTACCCACTTCCACTATCTATACAGTATTTGTACAATCTGGTTAGTTGGTATGTATTTGCAGAGTTGAACTTGGCCAGATTTTATGATGGTGTAAATCTGTGCATCTCTCTGCTGTGTCTCCAGCTGAGCTGAGCTTGGCCCATGAAGTTTAGATTAGCCAAATTAAGATACCTAAACTGTTTTCTAAAATGGGCTAAAATCCATTGAGAACTAAGGGGAGGAAGGGAGGAAAAGTTAAAATATATATATATATATATATATATATGTGTGTGTGTGTGTGTGTAAGTATATATATGTGTGTGTGTACATATATATATACACAGATAATTGGAAACCTTATGTAGCTTAAAGAGTGTTGTTCACTGTTTTATATGTAAATCTATGTACTTGCAAAACTTCAGGAAAACTAAAAAAGCTAAATGCACTCTCTCTACTTTTCGTAATTCAGTTTCAAAATACTGTCATGACTTTTCCTCAGTGTAAATGCCTTTCTCCACTGAAGCTGAATGTTTTGTATTAAACAATATTCAAATTAGATGCAAGAGTTGAAATAATATTCTAAGGTAATGGTTATTTTATCCACATTTTATCTCCTAGTTATAAATTTTATACATTAGATTATACAACTCCCAATAGATCTTGGTATAAGAGACCTCAATAAATCTCAAACCATTCAATACAGAGGAAATTTATTTGTTATTTGTGTCATGTTTTATTAGTGCCCTGCAGTTCAATCCTGACACTGGAGAGATCGTTGCCTTTGCCAACAAGTAAGGAAAAAAATCTTTACAGCTTTAATTTATGGTAACAATATATTTATTATTTTTATACTGTGCATCTTAATTCTCAGATTCAGGTATTCTAGCATATTTGTCTCAACATACCTCTCCAAATTCTGTGACATAGTTATATTTTATGCCACTGATATAGGCTGCATAAATCAACAGCGTTTAAGTTGAGCATGCATGGAGAAAATGGTATGTAAAAAGAAATTTTATTTTCCCACGTTGGATGTAAAAGCCACACAGTAACGAGACGGATGGATAAATAGATAGAAATTCCCTTTACTTTTCAATCTCTGGGTACCGCATCTGTGTGGTACATTGTGCCAAACGCTACTACTTTTTCTGCCGCTGTTGTGTCTCAAAATTGCTTTGTAATTCATGAGCTATGCAGTCATCTCTAGCTCTTGGAATAAAAAAGGTAGATTCAGTCTCTTGATATATATAATGGATATAAGAGTATTCATTTTCTTTTTCTCACTCTATAATGGATGAATGGAAGAGAAATCTGGCTTCCAGCTTGTGAAAAAGGCAATATTTCACCATTATGATATAAACAGAAGACTACAGAGCAGGGTTGTGAGGACATAGCCACGAAATACATTTCCCAGTTTGAAGAGGGGTGCAGGGGAAAGAACTAAATAGTACTTACAGCCTTTTTAACCATTAGGATGGCGATTATATAATTTGTTTCAACCACGGGAATGCAATTAAATACAGGTCAGTAAGTAGTCCTGTTTTTCATCCTCGTTCCTCCTTCCAGTCTCATGGTCCTAAGGCTAATTCCACCATTTAGCGAGCCCGTATACCCAGCTGCAGAGGGCTCTTGCACAGGGAATTTATCCCCATTGCAGCCAGGCTGCATGCCAGTTTTGTGAAATATTCCCCCAAGGAACTGCCACCATTGTAACGAGACTTTCAAGTTCCTTGTGAGTTGTATGAACTGATGGTTCTTTCTCTTCTCATTGCTCCCCATAAAGGCAAACCATGGTCTGAATGCACGATTAGCAGTCACAATGTAGGTCAAAGCCCACCTGCAGCTATGGCTTTCTCCGTGTCCTTGGCCAAACCCCCATACCTTGTGGTAAAGTGGAGATGATAATCCCAAACCTGGCTTTTAGGAGCTCCACTTTCCTGATGGAGAGAAAATCCTGATGGATGCCCCACGTTGTTACCAGGCTAACTGTAGGTCTCATGATCAGTGTTGGTGGGTTTCATTATGTCAAACTTACCGTAAATGTTATGGTCAGCTGCAAAACTTTCTTCAAGAATAGCTTTCCATTTTGACTAAGTTACAGGTAGTGCAATTATGCTAAAATGTTATTGCTAATATGAATGTTTGAAGATGTTTTTACAAATGAGAAACTTGAAGCTTTACTTCACAATGACTTTTCAGTCTTGAGATGTGCTTTGAAATTTTATATTGAAAATAACTATTATTGAGTTGATATTGGATTGGAAAGTTTTCAAAGGAAAATACTGACTTTCTGTCCTTATATAAAAAGGAAAAAAATATAATCAGATCCCAGGTAGAAAATCTTGTTCTCAAAAACTCCTCAGTTATCCTTTCTTCCTCCCCATAATGGTTTCGTCAGTGTCTCTTAGGTCTTTATATTTCCGTCATGTGGTGTTTGTTTCACTGCAAAGATGTCTAAAAAAGAAAACAGGATAACAAAACATGTTAGGAGTGTAATGCCAAATGGCATGTGACATTGTTTTTGGTGCAACACTGTCTGTCCGTGGGAGAGAACCAGACAGCCAGAAGTTATTTTTGAAGCTCTGCATATCCAGGTCAGATGCTGAGAGGTGCTGAGCACACCTCAAGCCCTTGAGACCACCACTGAGGGCACTGTGCCCTGCACCGCAGCATCTGAGGGCCTGGGCCCATGCTCAGGTTTGTCCAAAGATAAATTCTGTTCACATCTCCTTAGTGCAGTGTAGGCGAAACTTAATCTTTTCATCTCATTCCATCAGCAATACTGAAAATAACCTAAAACAAAGCCTGAGATCTGACACAGGAAAATAGTCAGATTGGACTGGCTGCTCCTTTCAGTTACTCTGCCTGAATCATAAAAATACCAAGTGACAGGAGATTTATCTGCTCTGAATTCTTCTCCCCTTGCAGTTCAAATAGCAGCTTTTTGGCTTTGTTATTTTTTTCTATTCATATGTGATTATTTTCTGTTTCCTTTTATTGTTTGTGTTTTAGGTAGAACTCCGAAAAACTTGTTTCAGTTTATGTTTATAGCTTTGTTTTTCTTTTATCCTCCAAGCTTCATGTGTTGTTTAAGGTCAAATACCAAAAAAAAAAACCATCATAGCAAGTCTGTTAAACTCATCACTCCATTTCCAAGGGTGCTGTTTGACCTCAGAGAGCCTCCTTTGTACCCGTATCAACAAGCTTTGTTATCAAAACAGTACCACCAACCTCCATCCTGAAAAATTGCTGACAGCCCAGGGACAGGCAAGAATTTTGTCCTGATACTTGCTGTAAATTCAGCAGGGCCCACAAACATTTTTTTGTACTTTTTTTTTTCCCCCACTCCTCTTTCCTGCAATGCTGTTGAGAGCTGGAATGAGTCCCTCAGTACTAGGAGCCCAGGAGAAGGGGAAGGGACATTCTGTTTTGCAGAGTGAGGGTTACTGCTTTCTGCCAGGCTTCTCTGTCTCACCTGTGGTGTGGTTCCCACCCTCCTTGTATAGCTTGATGTTCTCTATGCAGTGCTGTGCTGACCTTGTGTTTTTTTTTTTTTGTTTGTTTGTTTGTTTTATGGAACATCCTGAACATGGTTTATTTGTTCCTTGTTTGAATTGTTTGTTTCAGCCATTTTCCCTCTTCTCTGATTCCTTTTCAGATAGTTTAAAGGACTCCCTATTTTTCAAGGCCTTATTTCAAAGAGGCAGTCCTGTTCATAACTACTTGTGCATGCACATAAAACCCACAAAGCCAGGTGAGCATGTGCCTATTTACTGTATCAGGGTCTTTATCTCAAGTTGTCCTTAGTTTTCCTTTTTTTTTTTTTTTTCCTTCACATTTATTGCTCATTATGTGAACAGTCTTGTTAAGGGGAAAACTTGTTACAGTGTCTAGAATTGGGCTAACAGATGTTTACATTGCTCTTTTGGTCTATTAATGTAGAACCTTATACATCAAGTAGTGATGGGACTTGAGAGCTTGCCGTTTCCAGATGAGGTACTTTTATTTGTGTGATATGTGGAAGGATCTGGTCAGAAATCCAAACTATTTGCTGTGCTCTTAGTGAGACACAGACAAATTACTGAATGCAGGGATAATGGAACGTTTTAATTCTTGGTTCAGTAGTTCAAATCCATCCAGTTCGTCAATTGCAAAAACTCATTACTGTCTGATGGCTGCTTAGGACTTACTTGAAATTAGTGGGGGCGAATGTGGGAGTGATGGAGGGGCTTTACATGGGGGGAGGTAAAAGCAGGAGATCATCTTCTGTCACATGCAGCACCTTCCCCTATGACCAAGAGTGCCATCCTTGCTAGCAACCCCAGCTCAGGAAGCAAAAATACAGAGGCTGAATAGGCCAAGCTCCTCTCTGCTGCAAAGGTGGGCTGTCACAGCAGTGCCCCAGCACCCCAATGAGACCCCCAGAACCAGCGGCAGCTGGTTGGATGCTGGTGGGCTTCAGACCGCATTGCTGTAAATGTGCCACATTTTTAAACACATTTTAGAACATCCTTTGATGCTTTATCTGTCTCATCAGAACAATTAGCTCCTGGATGCTCTCTGCACAACAAAGGAAATTAATTAGAAAGAGTCAGATGCTGTGATATGAAGTGATGTTTAGGAGGACTGCGGTGTTTCAGGTGGGTTTTGATGTTGCAGCAGCTGAGCTGGAGACTGTTGTCCTGAGTGGCTGTGTATAGTTGGACATAAAGATTTTTCTGAAAGGGAGAAAGTCACCTTATAAAAGCTCTGGATTTCCACCCTGCTAAACGTTGTTTCCTGTGAGCTAAAACATAAAAGGTATGTGTAGGGGGGAAGCAGCCACTCTGAGACATTGTTATGAATACCACAGTGCACAAAGAACAAGGAATACATCATACCTTTGTGTTTTCAGTTCCTAGATACACCCTGGCTAAAAATCAAAGTGGAGTAGCTCTGCTCTTGCTTCCCCCATCGTATTTCTAAATGGATTTTCCCTGTAAGGCACTGAGATGCTAAACTTTGATCATAATCAGCTGACTCTGAAACCGACGGATATCAAGAGCCATTTCTTTTCTGTGATGTACGCAATCTACTGACATGAAAAGAATGTATTTAATATGATCGAGAGAAACAGAAGTTTGATCCCAAGAATTTGAAGTCAGGGCTCCTGTTTGTAAAACTTGAGGTACAACACTTTTTTTTCATGTGCCTGACAGGTGATCAGAGAATTTCTTTCCCCTATTCAATTGTTTTCAGTTTTGTTTCTAGTGTTTTTGTTTGTTTGCTTGTATCCCCAAGAGCAGTACAGGCTTCCTCAATCTCTGAACTGCACTATTGCCAAAGAGGCCAAAACTTGGTTGTTCCTTAACCTTCTTGTAATACCAACCAGAGATGGTATTGCTAGGTTTTGCAAATCTGTCTGTAGAAGTTCACAAGAATGTGTAAATGTAGGAATTTGACTCAACAGGGACCCTCATGGAGTACAGACACTGTCCTGTGACACGAGAAGTACGTTATCGTGCCTGGAAGAAAGATTTGGAATAAATAATTTTGCTGGCTGTCTCTACAGCTGCATATTGCAGGCAGACTGAAGAGGTGGATAGGTTTTGGTCCTCTGTGAGGCTTCCCCATCACTTTGGTTGGTTGAGAATTGCTTCTTTTTCACTTGCAGGATTGGAGTCCTCTCACATCTCCAGCTACCAGTTGCTGACCACTTTGTGGAATTTGTATATTGCAGGGAGCAAGCCCATATCCTAAAATCTTTGCCATTCCCTTTTGGTGAACTGATCTGACCTAAAATCTTAATCCTGGAGTGTGTGGGAACAAGCCAAGCTGTATCCTGCTCTTACATGTAGGACAACTGATGAAATAAGACTGTCAGGGGAGCTGTGGATGACAGTGGCATTGCTTAGAGAATGTGTACTCCGGCACTGCACGCTGTTGGGCAAATACAGGAGCCTGCCTGGCAGCAGACAACAAGAGCATAGCTTCACCGTGAACAGTTTGTGCCAGGAAATGGGAGGCAGATGACAAAATATGATGTCATTCCAAAAAAAAAAAAAAAAAAAAAAAAACACGTCACGAGTGCAGAAAGCTCTTATGTAGCAAAAGTAGCTCCTCTAAGCATTATCAATAACTTCAAAGGGAAGGCATCCAAATATAATAAAGGCAGGCAGCTAATGCTCATAATATGATTTTTAAAAGTTTTCTCAAGTACCAAAGGAGCCCTTTTAATGCATAACCAAATTACCTGTTGAATGGATGTGTGCTGCAAACTAATTTTCTCCCATGGGAGTCTGAATATGTTAGAAATACTATACTCCAATGGCATTTGCATCTGGAACATAAATGTTCTGTTATTGAGCAGCAGGAAAAAAAGCCAAATAGTAAAACTTGGGAAGTGAAGATAAAGGGGGGAAATACGTGAAGGGCTGAAAGATTTATCAACTTGTGTGTTGCACCATTCTCTCTCAGAAGCATAGGCAAAAAAGAAATGAAGGGAAAAAGAGCTGTGAACCATGATGAAGATGATTAAAGAGGATACAGAGCAGCTGTCAAAGCAAATATCAGGCAGCATTAATAACTTTATATCACATCAGAAGATAGTCTCATGCCTTCCCAAGAAAACAAGGAATTTTGCTGCTGCATGGGGTAAATAGAACAAATCCTCAGGTGCATACACTAGTCTTTGTTGGTCAGAGATACTCCAGTGTCAATTCAGAGCAGAACAAGAGATTTTAATGGGGTTAATGTAGCTATATGCTGCCATAATTTTTTATTTATTTTTTATTTTTTTAAAAAAAAAGGTTCCAAGCCTTCAAAAATCTAGAGGGAATAACCCTTATCAGTGGGGAATTTGCAACTTCAGAGGAAGCAAAAAATGCATTTTCTTATTGCCCTTTCTTCTGTATAGAGGAAAGGAATTTTCTTGTATACAGGAGAAAAAAAAAAAAAAAAAAAGGAACAAACATTTCTGCAAAGAGCTCATTTTTTAGTCAAACCATTGACATTTTGCCTTCCCTAAAAGCATAGAGAACTTTCATCTCATGCAAACTTGTGAAAAAAAATATGCTTTGGGCCACACTGTGGAATTTTGCCTATTTTGCCTTGAACCTAAGCAAATATCTCTTCTTGGAACCACAGAGGAAGCTTGTCATAGATCTGGCTGGACAGCTGGATCTCCTTTGCTAGTGTTTAAGTGAAAATTTCTTTTGATCAGATTTACTATGTCCAAATGATCTCTGCATATGGGTTAAGAAAACATTCACAATCAGACATGAGAAAGTGAGTAAAATCATTGCCTTACAGGGATTGAACAAATTGTCTTAAGCATTTTGGTGTCAGCGTGGTGTAATGAGCTTATAAATTGCCATGAAAGACATTTCTGTGAGTTCTTATGTTCTACATCTACAGCTAGTAACCAACAGAACCATATGCTACTTCGAGGTGTGTCAGATTATTTATCATACACAGCTTGAGTTTCTTATAGGTTGTAAAGTCTCTCAGGAAGGTATGTTTTGGTATTGCAAGTGGCATGAAAGTATAATCCTTCAAGTTTCTGCAGCACCATTAGAAAGAGCTTCAGTGGGTCTGAATAGCTCCCCTGCATGTTAAAAAATAAGCTACCTGAAAGAGAGCTGTTATAGTCTGTAGTGACAACTGTTCCTAATCTCTTTCTGTGGAAGGGAAACATCTGATTCAGATCTATCTAGAATTATTCCTGGTTTGGCCCCATTGGAGATGAAGAAGCGTATCTGTTCACTTATTTAAATGTCCCCCTGTTTTTACCTGTCCCTTTCTTCCTCACCCCTTCTAAACAAGGTGAACAAAGTGACTGCCAGAAACTAATGTTAACTAGAATTTCTGTATGGGCGTTTTTATGAGTTTCAATAAAGCTGGAAAAAGTAGAGTTCTGTCATTTTCTTCTGGAAAACTTAATCTACTTTCTTACTCTCCAATCCCAATTATGTCTTTAAGATCATAGCTGTTCTGTTCTTGCCTCTGCCTCTTGTGTAAAATCTGTTTAAGGGCTATGCATTTATTTCACATGGAAAGCAATTTTTTTAGTTTTTCAATGCAGATGTAAAGACAAAAGAATTCATGCTTGTGGAGAAGTCCAATATATTATTACTTCACTCTTGGATATGCTATTTCTGCATAGTTTTAATAGAAGATGGCACTTTTTTTTTTTTTTTCTTCCCTCCTTTTCCCTATTCTTTTTCTTCCTTAAACTTTGATCTCTTCACTGTGTGAATTGTGTTTAAATTTGTGGGAATGCCCACTAAAACCAGTTAAATTTGATTTATTGGCTGGTACCAAATGAGCATATATAGCTAGTACTGGCCTTGTAGGAAGGAATTTTTACCGTTTCTCGGCATGCATCTGCTTAGAGGAATCTCCTATATCTGTGTATAATGATTACTTAGATATAATAAGGATGGTGAAAGGGGTGGATGTTCTTCATTAGAACAAAAGGCTGGTAATAGCAGAGAAAAATGACTGTCTGAGATAAAAGCCTGGCAACATGAAAGATCAGATGGGTTACTCATATGTAATTACTCTCTTGAATCCATATGGTCATGGTGTATTATATTATTCCCACTCAGCATGCTAGTGGCATTTTGTTGGTGTCTCCTGTTATTAGCCATATCTACTTCATTCAGCCAAAGACTCAATACTTGACTTGTAGAATTATTTTTTTTAGTGTCCTAAATAAATGACTCAACATTATTAGTCTCATTCTGCCCAGTCTCTCACTACCTGCCATGGGAA